AAACTAAAGGTTAAATTAAGACATTACGAATCAAATGATAAATTCATTGAAATATTAATTGAAGAATTATTTTAATTTGATATTTCTAATTCAAGGTTTAACTTAATTTTAAAATATATACCAAAGCACACCTTCACCTAAGCTTCTAAAGAACACCACCTAAGCTCTCAAAGTAAAACAAATTATACCTAAGCTCACAAAGTACACCAAAGTTCCCAAAGTAAAACATACTTCCAAAGTAAACCTAAGCCCCCAAAGTAAACCTAAGCTCTCAATTTATACCAAAGTTCCCAATTATACCTAAGCTCTCAAAGTAATCCTAAGCTCCCAAAGTTTCCCTAAGCTCCTGCAAAACTTTACCTTAGCTCCCAAAGTTTACAAAGCTCCCAAAGTTTACTTAAGCTCCCAAAGTTTACTTAAGCTCCCAAATTTTACCTAAACTCCCAAAGTTTATCTAAGTTCCCAAAATTTACCTTAGCTCCCAAAGTTTACCTAAGCTCCCAAAGTTTACCTAAACTCCCAAAGTTTATCTAAGTTCCCAAAATTTATCTAAGTTCCCAAAATTTACCTGAGTTCCCAAAGAATATGATCAAGTTGGAAAGCTGCTAGTATATTTTCAATAAGAACACATGCTTTAATTGTTCCCGTAACTAGTCCCAAACTTTCCTAAATATACGGGATATGGGCAGGATACACAAATTTGTGAAATAGAACGATTTCCGATTCAAATAGCACTATAAAATACAACAGCTAAAGTGCATTGTTTATTAAGTTTTTCTTTCAAGATACTGGGAAAACTATTTGCTTTACAACAACCGATGGACAAAAGAGGCTAGAATGTCGTCTTCCTATTCTTGAGTTTCATAGATTCCACAGTTAAAATACTATTTTTGGTAATAATTCATTGTCCTCTCTTTTAATCTAAGTGCAATCTGTAGATAACTTTGTTAGTAGAGATTTTAAATGTATTTTGAATTGAATATAATCTAACTATTTTTTTGTCAAATTTTTCTAGTGTTTTATTGGTAAAATATCAGATTTAATTTAACATATCCGATCTTACTGTTTATTTGGTCCAAGAAATATATAGACCAGGAACCGCCATATCTAATGCGTCAAATTTGTGTACTGCAGTGGGAGGCGATCAAAACAAAGAATTCAGGGGCAAAACATCAATAATGAGGGGGGGGGGGATAAAGTTAAACTATAGTAGACACGAATACTGATTATAAAGCGAAAAAATATTTGTTACTTGTTATTTGTTACTTGAGAGTATATGCATTAAAGGCAGGAGAGGGAAATGATAATATCCAAGATTGTATTCAAATTGTGAAACTTTATATGGTAAAATTGGGATGTTTTAATAAAAGCAAAAACAATTCCTCACTCCATGGGAATCAATGCAAAGAGGAACTGTAGACATATTTCAATGCGTAACAGGACTGCACAGTGCATACATAATTGTGTCCCTAATATATAAAGATGCATGCCTAATTTACAACGGTACCTTTAAAAACTTTTTCGGGAAATGCCCATTGAATATTAGTCATTAAGAAATAAAACCTAACATAAAATTCGAGAAAAATGTTAACCTTGGGAGGAAGGATACAAACATCGGGAGGAAGGGTTTAAACCTTGGGAGGAAGGATGTAAAACTTGGGATGAAGGATACAAACATCGGCAGGAAGGGTTTAAACCTTGGGAGGAAGGATGTAAAACGTGGGAGGGAGGATACAAACATCGAAAGGAAGGGTTTAAACCTTGGGAGGAAGGATGTAATCCTTGGGAGGAAGGATACAAACATCGGCAGGAAGGGATTAAACCCTGGGAGGAAGGATACAAACATCGGCAGGAATGGTTTAAACCTTGGGAGGAAGGATGTAAAACTTGGGAGGAAGGATACAAACATCGGCAGGAAGGGGGTTAAACCTTGGGTGAAGGATGTAAACCTTGGGAGGAAGGATGTAAACCTTGGGAGGAAGGATGTAAACATAGAGAGGAAAGGTTTAAATCTTAAAAGAAAGTAAAACCTCGGAAACAAGGATAAGTGGGAATCTTTTTACCTTGCTTCTCCTTTATAGTTGAACCAATCTCACTGAGCACGAATAAATTTTCCATATTGATCTAAAATCCAAAAATCTTATTTAAATAATTAATTTGCATCCGCACTAACTTAATATATTAACTAGTTTCTTTTGTTTTTGACTGTAACATCACTCTGTTTATCAGTGTTTAATCCTTTCTCTTCAACTGCTGTGGGGGCACTGGATTTGTTTACATTCCTCCCACAGTGTACAGCACACAATTTGCGTATATCTGAGTTGGGCGTTCCTGGTCTATATATTTGTTTATTTGGTCAGGAATTACATAATAGATACAGGGCTTCCTACAAAGGTTCAGAGATGAAGAAGGAAAGTTAGACTGTCTATTTACAGGATTCCCTGCAACTGTAAACTGGTTTTTTTTTCTTTATCAAAACATTAAATATACAGGCACCCTATCCCCATGTTTTAGGAGTTTCAGGTCGTCTTTACAGTCTCATCCTTTTGTGGGTAACCCTGTATATTACCAACATAGGGAATGTTTTACACATTAATGGTTTCCATAAACATTATAAATGATTAATAATTTTCTGAAATATTTCTATTCATTACAGCTTAATGTTGTTAAGAAGCTAAAATATTTAGACACTGTTAACAAAACTTACCTGAGTGTACAGAAAAATTCTGTTCCAAAGCGCAGCTTCCTTAGCGTCTTCAAGCTTACTGTAAAGAAAATTATCATAATTTTAGTTTAAAATGTCTCCACTAGGTGTCTCTAATTTCTACCTGAGATAGAAGAAAGGCCCCGCTCCCTTGGCAGCCAGCTTCTGGCCACAATGGAACATTAATATTCCAAAGTCTACAAGAGGTCCAGGAACAACTTGACCACTAAATTTGAAATTAAATACAGTAAGACCAATAAAACTGTGGAATAATGGAACAGGAGATTGTTTAAATTGAAAATCAAGTACCACACAATTGTTTTTTAAAAATTCATTAGATTATCATAAAATAAAATCAAAACTTGAGTCTAACGGTCGTCTACCATCCACAGTTTTATGGGTTAGCCTGTATGTATACTAATTTCGTTATTCTGCCTGCAGGCAGTAAAAGAATTTTGATGGCATTCTGCAGCAGCATCATATAATTTCAAACCTATTTTAATCATCACTTCAAAAAATTGGAAATTAATCTTATTTTTCTGTGACTTAAAGAAATGTCAAATTTTCATCTTACAAAATTTGTTGGAGCACGGGAGCCAAATTCAACTTATTAGCATCTTTCGTCCAAAGGAATTGAGTCTTTGCCACAAACTCTGATTTTCTAATCACTATATCTTTGGAACCAAACGTGGTAGACCTTAGATATTTCAAACTATGAATTCTTTTAGATCAAATAATCTGAGTTTGAAATATCATAGGTTTACAACATCGGGTTCTAAAGATATTGAGGTTTAAATATTTGATTTTGTTCCAAGACTCAATCACTTTGTTGGATAATCATTTAATATTTGACGACTCGAGCTAAGTTAAGTTGAATATGGATCCAATGCTCCAACAAATTTTGTTAGATAAAAATTTGACATATCTTAGAGCATGGGGAATGGGGGGGGGGGCAATAATTTCCTAAAATCTGAGAATACATGTTTATTGGTGAGTGTTTATTATTTACCAGACAAAAATATTATGCTCTGTCATATTCCAAGCTCTAGGTCTGAGCATCATAATTGGACCAGTTTCCAGATCAGGGCCTCCAGATATACCATTCACCTAACCAGGGACACAAATTAATGAATTTGAGCTAGGTCACTGAACTACCTGCCGCCGGTTCAAATCTTGAATTCCCGATTAACAGTTAAAGATTCATGATGATTTAAATCGGTGATTCAGGATTTGAACCAGTGGGAGGTAGTTCAGCTACCTAGCTCAAATTCATTGCAAAAATGCAAAAAACACAAACATTGAAAGCAAAAAATCATATGTATGTGTAGACGTAAATTTTAAACGTAAAAATGGATTTTTCAAAAACACCGAGTTTCCCTTGATGATAAAAATATCTTTTAATTTCTTAATTTTTATATTTTTGGTCAACTGGTCACTTAAAACTTTTTTTAGGGAAAGGGGGGGGGGGTAAGTTTACGAATATGGTCGATTTAAAAAATGTAAATTGCCGGCTATCTCTTCTTCTCTAAATAAAGCATACAAAGCCTATTTCTTAAAGGGAGTGTAAACGGGATTTCAAGAGACGCAAAGATGACACTGCCCGATTTACAACGTTACTCTTGAAACCTTTATTAAATCAAAAGTGTGGAAGTTAACGTCGTTTCCCTGACTTAAAAAGTGTTTAATTTTGACAGTTTTTTATAAGCAAAAAATGCGCAAGTCACCTCTAGAGAAACCGCAAATGAAAATAAACAGTTTAAAGAAATTAAAACATGGATATCTATTTCATACTTTTAAGGGTACTGTTAGAAATCCGACCTTGTCATCTTACAATGAAGGGTCAATTCAAATTACACTTTTATAGTCCCTTTCAGTCCCATTAAGTCCCATTAAGTCCCTTTGAGTCCCGTCCCTTTAAGTCCCTTTAAGTTCCTTTCAGCCCCTTTAAGTCCCATTAAGTCCTTTTAAGTCTTTTTTAGTCCCTTTAAGTTCCTTTACGTCCCTTTTAGTTCCTTTAAGTCCCTTTAGGTTCCATTAAGTCCCTTTAAGTCCCTTTAAGTCCTTTTAAGTTCCTTTACGTCCCTTTAAGTTATTTCAAGTCCCATTAAGTCCCATTAAGTTCCTTTAAGTCTTTTTGAGTTCCTTTAAGTTCCTTAAAGTCCCATTAAGTCCCTTTAAGTCCCTTTAAGTCCCTTTAAGTTCCTTTAAGTCCCATTAAGTCCCATTAAGTCCCATTAAGTCCCATTAAGTCCCATTAAGTCCCTTTAAGTCCCTTTAAGTCTTTTTGAGCCCCTTTAGGTTTATTAAGGTCCCTAGAAAAATATTGTATATCCTAGTTTGAAAATAACAAAACAAATAATTCTGAATATAGAAAGATATTTTTCATAAATAATTTCATAAATAGACGACTTTGATTTTAATATTCATACGTTATTAAGACACTACCATTTAAGAAGAGAAGATTTTATTATTCGAATTTTTGTAAAAACTTTATTTTACCTGTGCATAGATGTTGCACCAGCCCTAAAATATAATATTTTTATAAGAATGAGATATTCTTAAATTCTAATTTTTAAAATAATCATTACCAACTTAAAGTGGTGATTTATTTCATAACTTTTATCGATTTCGCCAAATTAATTACCTTTTAATAATCTTTATAAACCAAATGGCCTTTGTAAGCAATTTGATTATGCTTTGTCAAAAATTATTAAACCTTTGTCAAAAAATTGTTTAACTTTGACAACAAACTGTATTGTATACCTGTATTTGATTTCACCAGGTTGTATTATTGTATACCTGTATTTGATTTCACCAGGTTGTATTATTGTATACCTGTATTTGATTTCTCCAGGTTGTATTATTTTATACCTGTATTTGATTTTTCCAGGTTGTATTATTGTATACCTGTATTTGATTTCTCCAGGATGTATTATTGTATACCTGTATCAGATTTCTCCAGGTTGTATTATTGTATACCTGCATTTGATTTCTGCAGGTTGTATTATTGTATACCTGTATTTGATTTATCCAGGTTGTATTATTGTATACCTGCATTTGGTTTCTTCAGGTTGTATTATTGTATACCTGTATTTGATTTCTCCAGGTTGTATTATTGTATACCTGCATTTGATTTCTCCAGGTTGTATTATTGTATACCTATATTTGATTTCACCAGGTTGTATTATTGTATACCTGTATTTGATTTCTCCAGGTTGTATTATTGTATACCTGTATTTGATTTCACCAGGTTGTATTATTTTATACCTGTATTTGATTTCTCCAGGTTGTATTACCGTATGCCTGAATTTGATTTCACCAGGTTGTATTGTATACCTTTTTTTGATTGTATTATTGTATACCTGAATTTGATTTCTCCAGGTTGGACAATGGCCATCATCAAAGTCAACCTGCACTCCATCAACTGCCTTCACAAATAATTTTTTCAAATTATGAATTTGAAACAAAAATCGTGTTTATAAGAGTTTTTGTTCATGCAATAACGAAAATGTATTTCCACTTCAATTTTTGGCGATATTTTTATTCCTACTGAAGTACTGACAATTAAATAATTAAAAAATGGAACTATGAAACAGAAAGTTTAATTTATTTTTTCAAAGAAAACGTAAAAATCCCTGAAAAAAACACCAATAAAAATGTTGTTATCAATGAACTTTTTATTCAAGAGATTAAATTCAACATCATCAATTTTATCTTCAAAGGATATTTCTTTTTCTCATTTAAATCCTCTTATTTTTATAAATTGGTATATTAAAGGTTGAACATAATTTTAACAAATTGAAAGTTAAGATTGATTTGAAAATAGAAAAGAATAATATTGGGGGAAAATTGCAATTTTATCGACATCGTTCCATCTCACTTTAACTTGATAGAACAACATAAGACTCAAAATATAAAGCCAAGAGAGGGGGGGGGGGAAGGATTGTCCCCGGGGAACTGTTAAATCTTATACCTGAAGAAGGCTACTCTGAAATCTCTCAGTATCGGATGGACTCACGTCACCTAGAAGAACAATATCAAAAATAATTTTATAAAAAAACAATAATTAATTCTTGAAATTTGAACCGCTCTGAAACATGTGTATAACAATATATGACAACAAGATAAAACCAAAACAAAAGAGTGTGGCGATTTTTTAGAGAATAAATTTTTTTATTGCTACATTCTATGATTCTACATTTAAATTTAATTAAATAGCATTTGTTTACTTTTCTGCAATCTATATATAAATTTGGCTTGTCTGTCCTGGGTGTTTGTTTGTTTGGGTGTCTGTCTGTTTGTTTGTATCCAATAAACGTCAAAACGGCTGAACCGATCGGGCCCAAATTTTTTGTGGGACATCACGTGACCACAGGGAAGGTTTATGAATGATCAAAATTTCAAATATGTGTCTCCATCAAAATTCGATCTTCATTAAACTTTTAAAAATTTTGAAAATCCACGAAATTTTTTGTGAAAATCCGCGAATTATTTTTGTTTTGTTTTACGATGTACACAAAGAGAACATGTTCTCAATTAATTTAGAAAATGGGCGCGAAGCGCCCTATAAGGCTAGTCTATATATAAATTTGGCTTGTCTGTTTGGGTGTTTGTCTGTCTGTCTGTTTGTATCCAATAAACGTCAAAACGGCTGAACCGATCGGGCCCAAATTTTTTGTGGGACATCTAGGGACCCCAGGGAAGGTTTATGAATGATTGAAATTTTAAAAATTTGTGTTTTAGAGGTTTTTAATTTTGTAAAAAAAAAATTAAATTTTTGAAAATCCGCGAATTTTTTTTTAAAAATCCGCAAAACTTTTTTCATCTTTGTTTTGAAATGTAAACAAAAAGAACATGTTCACAATTTGAATAGAAGATGGGCGCGAAGCGCCCTAAAAGCCTAGAAAGAAGGGCGCGAAGCGCCTTGAATTTCTAGTATATTATAAAAAGCGCCATTTCTTATGTAAAATGAAAAAAAAGATTCCACCTTTTTGAATAATTTTGTAGGTTGCCTGATTACCAATGAATAAAAATTAGATAAGGTATTATGATAATGAAATATGTTAAGAACTTGAATTTCAAGTTCATAATTATTATATCATATTTAGATATAATTAAATAGGTTTAAGTTTAAATCAACTTTTAATATTATAGCATCTGTGTCAGGTGAACTGGGAGATAAACCATCTCATTTTCTGTTTCCAGGGAATCTCAGAATTCATTGAATTAAATGAAAAGTAAATTGTGAAAAACATAAATTCTGCAGCATATCAAAATAAGTTTTGAATCATATTTAGATTAACAACAGCTGGTTCGGTTCCAAACGGAATTCCGTTTCACATAATTTTGCGTAATTACAGGGCTCACAATTGCGCGCAAGTAAAATCCACTTGCGTTGGAAACCTTAATCATATTTTACCAAGGTCAATATTCCGACATAGAAGACGTTCAGACAAAGGGCTTATTCTCCACGTCTTGTCTTCTGTAATGCTGGAACTGGAAAAATCCGGGAGTGTTCCGGTTCTTCTCAGTTCAAGTCGTCTTTGCTCTCTTTCAAGAAACAGCTGATTCACGTCTTCACTAAACCGCGTAATCAAAGAGTAAAGAAAATCTTTTAGCTCATCTGAAAAATAATTTTTAATGATTTTTGTTTTTAGGGTTGCAAAATAAATATTTCACGAAAGGAAATGAGTTTTGACGCAAACTATCATATTTCCAACTATAAATTCTGTTAGGTCTAAAAGTCTATAATTTACACCATATGGTTCCAAAGATATAGCTAGATTTAAAAATTTTAGTTTGTAAGTTAATTGGATCATCTTTTGGTATTACTGCGACTTTAAATAGTTGCCAATTCGCCAATTGATAAATTTCTCACCGTGCACAATTATTCCCAGTATTTTGACAAATTTGAAAATGCTAAATCATAAATAAAATATCACAATATTTTATTTAGAAGAACTAAGAAGAAAAATTGTTGATGCATCGTAAATATAAATTTCCCAAACATTATAGAAAACAGAAAAGAAAAAAAATCCTTTAAAGAATAGGTCGAAAAATATGGAAAATATCTGTCACTCAAAGTCTTCTTTTTGGTGATTTTCTCTGTTAAAATTCTTGGAAAAAGTATTTAAAAAAAGGGCTTTGCATTTTTAGACTTTTTTCAAACTGTTATCTTAAATCGTTCATCTACGGTCATCTAAAATTTTTCATCAACGGTCATCTTAAATCTTTCATCAACAATTATCTTAAATCTTTCATCAACGGTCATCTTAAACCGTTCATTAACGGTCATCTTAAACTGTTCATCAACGGTCATCTTAAGCCGTTCATCAACGGTCATCCTAAACCGTTCATCAACGGTAATCTTAATTTGTTCATTAACGGTCATCTTAAACCGTTTATCAACGGTCATTTTAAACCGTTTATCAACGGTCATCTCAAACCGTTCGTAAACGGTCATCTTAAACCGTTCATCAACGGTCATCTTAAACCGTTCATCAACGGTAATCATAAACCGTTCATTAACGGTCATCTTAAGCCGTTTATCAACGGTCCTCTTAAATCGTTCATCAACGGTCATCTTAAATCGTTCATCAACGGTCATCTTAAATCGTTCAAAAGACCAACCTTTCTGGACGTGCTTTTAATAGTATTTTCCGTTTGTTTATTATTACCGTTCCTTCGCGATCTTAATCGTAGAAACGAATATATTTTAGAAATTGTTGACTGAGCCGATAATTATTTCATTCAATAATAGCTGGGAAAATTTGAGTTTCATGTAATTTCAAGCAAAAAATTAACAAATGATTCTGTTATTTTGAAACGCATCCGTTATATACTTTCTATTTTCCGTTATTTTTGCTTCATGAACTGTTATTACCGTAAAGTAACGATTTCAAAACAGAGTTTACCAATCTTCCGTGAATTTACAAAAACTTGCTCATTACTACTAAAAATCTTTCTCAGTTTTAAAAAAACTATTTTCCGTAAAAATCCTAAACCTTATAAAATCTTCCAAAATTTTCCTGAGAGAAGTTTACCTGTAAAAATCTTGTTGTACATATTCTCTAAACCTTGAGGAGGGGGGAGTACTTCAATCCTCATTTTCTACTCAATTAGAATTCTGGAAGAGTATTAAAGGGATTGTCATTGAAATTTCAAGTGACCTTCTATATTTGAAAATCAATATAATGTGTTTTTGCTGACGAAAAGCGTTCAATTTTGACAATTTCTCCAACTTTTTTCTAAAGCAGAATTGCGGACGTGACTGTAAAGACAACTTACAAGTAAAAATAACCAAGTTTTTAAAGAGAAGATGATGGCATTCTTGATATTTTTGAACAGAAAAGACTTCTAAGGGTACCGTTGTAAATCGGACTTGCAGTTGCTAGTCTATGATTGGAAACAACGTTAAATTACGGCGATTTTTACAAAGTACAATGTAGAAACACTTTAAGGGGCTCGTAACTTTTAGTGACCAATGATAATTTTTATTATTTTTTTCAAAAGATAAAATGTAGAAAACCCAAGTACAGCTAATTCTAATATTGATTGTATTTTAGGAAACTATGAGAATTCAGAGTCTGAATTTATACTAAATTTGAGCCGCGTCTCAAATCCGTCAAAAGTCGGTTTCAATTCAGCGCCGGCTTAAATCTTGAAACATTGAATACAATTTTTAAGTGGAACCAACCATATTTGAGCCTCTTTAAATTCTGCTTCAGTATATTTGTAGGAATATCTTACAATAATATATTTAATTGGAAACATATTTGTGTTCTCTCAATACCACGGTTCAACTAAACAGATTTATGTGCAGTCAGTCTTGTTTAATCATTTCAGGTTTATTTTACTTCAGTTCTAATTAAAGACCTCTACATTAACCTCAAAATAAATCAAAATAAAACAACTTTTCATAATCTTTTAGATACATTTAAGCGATAAATAAAAATTATATTCTGAAATACAGTTTTTCAATACATGGTTACCCACAAAGGATGAGACAAGTAGACGACTCAAAACTATGTAAAAATGTTAGATTTGGTTTCTGACTTTTCAATATATAGACGTTTCATGGCTAAATAATTGGTTAGGTAAAGAAAGAAGCTTATTTTCAAATGCAGGGGCGCGCTTGAACGTTAAATGACAGGAAATAGATGTAAAACATTATGTACAGTCATCTCTGAAGTCTCATAATTTTTTGGGAAACGCTGTACATGAGACAGAGTGTCAAAACTAAATGTATACTTGGTATACATTTACTCCCCAGGGGGTAACATACAGGGTTACACACAAAGAATGAGACTTAAAGACGGTTGCACAGAATTTACTCAGACTTATTTCTTATCTCATGGTTCATCCCATCTTATTTCTTATCTCATGGTTCATCCCATCTTATTTCTTATCTCATGGTTCATCCCATCTTATTTCTTATCTCATGGTTCATCCCATCTAATACTTTTGTATTTTCTTTCAAAATCATTTAAGAGATCCTTAGAAGAATATTTACAAATTTAAACACCTTCAAATCCTGATATCTAAGGTATTTTGGGTTGTCACTAAAGTCTCTTTCTTTGTCGGAAACCTTATATATGGATATATAGCTTATACCTCGGACTAATTGTTTCGGCGTAGGAGAGGACGATATCTGGCGAATGTTAGATAACTTTTGAAATTTCGAAAGTACCAGATATTTAAATTGCTAGCGCAAGCTGTCCACATACAAACTAAATTAGACTAAACTCAACAGAACTCTCAATAAACCAAGGTACTAATGCAAGAAAAGTTACTTGCAGTTGCGTATACTCTGCGTACATATTGAGACCAGTTCTCTCTGGGCGGAATAGATGCATCAGTGTTTGTTTAGTATCCGAGGAGGTAAAAAGCATTTAATTTTGATAATTTGGATAATTCACACAATAGTTTCCTATGACCAGAATATTTCATTGATTTTTTATGTGAAAGATGGATCCCATGTCAGACTTCGACATCCGTCTTGTGTTTACATGACCGCCCATGGAGACAACACACTGCAGTACAAAAGATGCGTACACCTCTAAAATAACTTCCCTTGCATTATAACCTTGCAATAAACCAGCCTCTTCCAGGGATACTCTAGTGCGCTGGGAACTTTTTAGCTATTATATGCGTATCACATATTTTTTATCTCTCTTTTTAAATAAAATATTATTTAACGTTTGCAAGCGCAACAACTGTTAAATCTTGGATAATTAATGAACTTGCAATGAATGCATTTAATTTACTCCTAATTTTTCACGTTTTGATAAGAGACAAGTTTTAATCAAAATATTTTCATTTAATATTTAGGAGACATATAGGGTTTCCACCGAAAGGAGACATATAGGGTTTCCACCGAAAGGAGACATATAGGGTTTCCACCGAAAGGAGACATCTAGGGTTTCCACTGAAAGAAAACTTGAACGAAAAAATTAGAAATTTTGAGATTTTTTTGTCGCGTAAACTGTTTCGTGATAATAAGAATTTTATTGCGAAAATTAATTTTGCGAAAGAAAGCGAAAACGATGCGGAGTTTCATAAAATAAAACAAAATATGCGACAGTTTAACTAAAAATTGCTAAAATATTTGCAAAACAGATTAACGTAAAATTTCCTCATTTCCCTGGAAACCCAAGAGACAATTGCACCAAAAGTCGATTTGTTATTTACTTTATATAGTTTGTTATATTATATAAAGTTTAAAAAACTTGATCTCATTTCCACTTTTAAGCTTTGGCAATTTGCGATCAATTGATCGATTTGTTAAAACTGAAACTATGAAACTGAAAAATAATGTAATATTGTTATGCTTTCTATCCTTATTTCTTTTTAATAATTATTATTGTCTTTTTTATTTCTCTTAAGATATAAATAAATTGTGCGAGTTGTTTCAAACTTAATATTTAATATTCTGATATTACAGTTATGAGCTAAACAAATATAAAAAATAAAAAGTAAGCGCATTGAAATAAACATTTAATTTTTTTACAATCAAATTTTAACCAAAAACATGTCTGATGAAAACAAATTTTTTGTTATTAATTTTATTTACAAAATGTTAAGGTGTGTGCGCATTGATAAATAGCTATCGCTGGCCAAACTGAAAAATGACAGAGATTTCACAAAATAAAAAAGTTATGTTTGTTTTGGAAATTCAAGACCATACACTTCAACCAATAAATTTCTTTACTCATCAAGGATATCGACTTACAAAACTAGATTTCATGCAGTGTGTCCCATAAAACATGATGAGCTAAATCACTTGTAAAGGTTGTTATTGATTTTCGCTGGGTGTTTTAGAAAAAAGTATGCACCCCAAAAAGTTTGAATTATAAATTTTGTATTTTCAATAAATTTGGCTTTATTCAATAAATCAGAAATATGAAAAAATAACAGACCACATTTTGTTATTTAAAATTCCGTTAGAAAATTGCGAAGGAATTTGTCCTGGTTTTTATATTGCACCGCGCAGTGTGCACTTGGGCGTCACATTCACACATGGGTACAGGTCCAATATTTGCATGATCAGAATCTAGGCGTCAAACCTTATAGAAATCCAACGAATAGAAACAGCCACGTATAGTAACATGGCGTATTTTCCGGGAGAACATTTTTTATACTTTCGAGAATTAAACGTTTTTGTAAAACATTGTAGCTTATCATTATCATTATCATAATTTCTATTTTTTTTAACATACCCTAGACATTCAAGGAGCAAAATAGTTTAATATGTACATTTGTACTGCTCTCTACTGTGTTTAAGGTCCCCAAGATTTTATTATGCACTGACAACATAAATGAATGATTATATGGTTATACATAAATTTGCATGTTACTATTTAAAAAAATATTTTACAAAAATTCTATCTACAGTTCTATTTTTATAGAAAAAAAATTTCTCAAAAGTCTAAAAAAGTTCTCCAGTAATGCAAATATGATTTCATAAAATTCCGTTTTACCATTTAAATAAAAGAATTTTATGAAAATTATATCTACTTTACACTGATTATTTAATTTCTCAAAAATATAAAAAACGGTCTCCCGGAAAATACCGCATGTTGCTATACGTAGCGGTTTCTATACGTTGGATTTCTATAAGGTTTGACGCCCAGAATCTGTACGAGGATTTACCAGTCTAGTGTAATCGTACAAAATATACATCTACTTGTACCAGCCTGTCTATTGAACCCAATGTGTGTCGCAAAAAAATCGACTCGCTGGATACATGTAGCGTATTATTTTTATTCTAACCAAAAAGATGAATGGTAAACGGAAAATTTAAGATTTTGTGAATAAATGTTTTCTAGGTTTAAAACTTTAAAACTTTCTAAACTGAAGGAGACAGATACAAGAGAATCCTTTCAAATCTTGTCTTAAACCAGAATACATTTTATACACTGAACACTACTGATACAGCGATCTTCAAAATAGAGAACTTGTATTTATATCCCTTGTTAGCAATTATGTTATTATATACTTCAACAAAAATGTGTGGGACCTTTTAAACTTTGAGATAAGAAGACGACTTTTATGTGTATTTGTGTTGTTTTGTTTCACCAGTAGCCTTAAAACCATCGTACGAGGTAAAAACACTCACAAATGCTTTGTTTAATGATTATTTGACTATTTATACACATGTCAATGTAACCAGTTTTATATGTATATGTAAAGATCCTGTGTATTTACAAAGTCAAAATGAAATAAAAAAATTGCCACTATTTTGGGAACTTTGTTTCTGTAATTTGATTATTTCACCAGTTTAACATTAATTAACATTTTTTTACAAAACTTAAAGGTTTAACTTAAAAGTTTCATCCGGGCCTTACCAAATTTTCCAATGCATTTTTAAAAGATCTTTTTTATTCCTTTTTGAAACGCATAGAGAAAACAAACCTTTTCCACATTGACTGATTTAATGAAGACTAGCTGAAGGACCCGGCGTTGCCCGTGGAATTGAATAAAAAAACTTGGAAACAAATTTTGTTCAGTCTATGTTACCTCATGGGCACCATAGAGTTTCCTCAAAAAAAAAATCAGCCAATTTTGAACAGCCACCAGCTATAGCTACTATATACATATGAATATATATATGTGTATGAGTAAAGAGGT